TCTTAGAGCTAACAAGAACCTGAAAATTCAGATCGCAAAATACGCACTTCCGCACTCGGCACTCTTCGCACGTTCTTGACGGCGCCTACCACCGCGCGAAAACTGACGGAACTCGACTACCTAAAGCTATGGAAAGGCCTCTTCTACAGCGTCTGGATGTGCGACCGTCCCATACCCCAACAGAACCTGTGCGCCGAGCTCGCCGACCTCTTGTCCGTACTGCCCGCCCCGAACGACGACGAGTGCGCCGTCGTCATCCCCTTCCTCCGCGCCTTCTGGGCCACGCTCTCTCGCGAATGGACCGCCATCGATGTCTTACGCATGGAGAAATATCTGCTGCTAGTGCGCCGCGTATTCGGCGCTAGCATTTCCTGGGCGAGAGATGGAAGGAAGGGCAAGAAAGCTCAGAAGCGGCCTGGAGCACGCGCCGACGGAATTCTCCGACTATTAGAAGAATGGCCACTTGAGAAAACCGGCAACCTGGCCAAAGTCCCCGTCGGCCTGCGACTCCACGTGCTGGATATCTGGGTCGACGAGGTAGAGAAGCTCGAGCTACTGGCGGAGGACGGCGACGAGAGCTCGGCCGATCCCAGCAATTTTCTAGCTAGGCTACGTCGTATCGTCGAGGTGCAATCTAAGTCTACCTGCAGACCCGTGCAAGTAAGGGCTAATGATTCTTTGGCCGACGAGAGGTTACCATGGAATAAAGCCGGCTCGTCAGACGAGGAAATGGTTGAAAATGGCGACAATGGCGACAATAACGACAATGGTCAGGACGGCTGGGGCGGATTCGACGACTAAGTTATGGTTCAGATCTTATGGTTCAGATCTTATGGTTCGGATCATCTGGCGGGGCCTGGAGTTTGGGCGTTCTTTCGGATGCATATGGATGGATATATCCACGGTTTAAAGAGCCTTTTTCTCTCCTTTTTTCCGGGAGGGTTCTGAGATACGCTTGAAGGCCAATGGGAGGCCAATGGGAAGCCAATGGGAAGCCAATGGGAGGCCAATACATGTACCTATACACTAGGTATACTAGGTATACTACCTACATAAGCACAGCACACGCTATACATATTCTTACAAGACGAGTCCGCACGTCTACTCCAACCTTGGGGTATCTCATAGCCTACTAACCTCCCTTCTCCCTCTGATGCCAAGTTCATATGCCAGCTTTCTCCCAATCTGATGGTCCGGCCGCCTCGTACTTTCCGCTCTTCGATAGCACGGTACCTAGTCCTTGGTGGACCTCGACCTGGAAGGGCTCGAAAGGAACGTGCTCTCCGTCGATGCTGATGTAGCCATCTTTCTGATCACGGGGGGTAAAGCGATAGGCGGCTATCTTCCGATACGACACGTGGGGATTGTCGAATAAGTGACCGGTCTCAACCGAAGTCAGCAGTTCTAAATATTTAGCCGCGGAAATATCACCGTCGTTGAACACGACGTCCATCAACCCGTCGTTAGGGCACGCCGCCGCGAAGAAGTTGGCGTCAGGCGCCATCCAGGCCATCTATCAAACGTTAGCAAGCGCATCACATCTGCGCGGGACGACCTTCCGGCGCTTACATTTCCGCAGTAGAAATTTCCTAGCTTGTCATACGACACCGTCTCCCAATCGTCGGGGATCTTGTCGTTGACGGTTCCGAATCTTAACGGCGGCAAGCCCTCTCGAATATCCGGATCGCCCGACGCAGACCCGCCCGCGGACGACGCCTCCTCGGCAACGTCCTTTTCTCTCCGCGTAGTGTATTCGTTCTCTGTCTGTTCGCGCCTGTAATGAGCCTTGATATCGGCTTTCTCGGGAATCTCCACCTTCATCGAGATGTCGCACGGGTACACCTTCTTGCTGAATATCCTCTGCATCAGTCCGACGTTGAACCGCGCGGCACCGAGCCAGCGCAAGTTCTCCGTCCCCAAGTCGCACTCCGCGATAATGCCCACCGACTGGCTGAGGAAGCTGAGCATCCGCGCGCTCCCCTGGGTGACGCTCATCAGGTCCATCGGCGTCACCACGCCCTTGACGATCGCCAGCGCCGCAAAGCTCGGCCTATACGTGCCGTTCAGATTGCAGCTCATCGCGTTTCCGCTCCCGCACGGTATGTGCGCCACGGCAACCCGGCGCAGGGCCTTGCGCGCGTCCGGGCGCTTTCCTAGGCCGTTGATGCACTCGTACGGCAGGCCGTCGCCCGAGCAAGGGATCACGACGTCGTACGCGTCGATGTCGAGGTTCTCGCATATCCCGACGGCCTCGCCTGAGAACTTGGTCCGCACTACATCCAGTGACATGCGCGCCGCCTCGAACAGCGGCTTCACCTCGTGTTCCCAAACCCTGTCGGCACCGCCCGGTCCCGCGTGAGGATTAACCAAGACCTTGGCGCGTCTGCTGCGCTGAGCCGACCCGTACGCATTCTTAAGGAGGACGTTGACCCACGCGCCCACCGCATCTTGGGCAAGCTCGCCGAGCGCGTACGTCAGCTTAGCAGGGCGGAGGTGTTTCTTAGAGACGGGATCTGCGTAGTCGACGACAAGTCCGCCGGAGGCGATCTCTGCCCAGAGCACGTTGTAAAGAGGAATCGAAAACTCGGCAGGAGCGCTACCGACGGCAAAGCCGCAGAGCTTTCGTCGGTGGTGTCTCGCCCGAGACTTGTCTACAGAAGCGCGAAGTTACGTCAGTTTTAGCTCAATCATCTATCGGTAGGAGTGGGAGTCTATCGGATAGATACCTCTGACGACTAAAGAGTCTCCTGTTAGAGCGAGAGAGACGCCTTTCGGAAATAGGAGGACATTCTCCGCGGACGGTAGAGAGACCTGGGCGGGAGCGGCGGCAGGGATAGCTTCAGCCATTGCGGAATCTGATGCGAACCGACGGTAGCGAGCGTGAAGAAACAAAACAACAAAAAAAGGAATTAAAATAAAAACTACGAACACAAAAACAAGGAAGATACTAGAGTGCCAATGCTAATATCAATACCAATGTTACATATGGTATCGTAACCGAATCTCCATAAGCACATGTGATGCGTAGATAATATCCATGGATGCTGATAGTTCTACCTGCTTGTTTCTGTTCAGGTTCCAGGTTCCGAGGCAACCTTAGGTAGCTATCACAACGGACTCCGTGCTTGCCGGGATACCGAGTAATTCTCCATTGCTGATTGGACAGCTCAATCAGTGTTGCGATTAATTGATATGCGCGACGTGCATATGTACGTCTAAAATCAGGTACCTGCATAATAAAGTTAGGTATGCTTATACAAAATATAGAATTTGGGTTATTAGCAAATCTACTAGGTCGGATAGGATCTACCTGGTAAGTATATGTAAATCAAGACATAAAATCACCGTGAAGTTGTCATGTCATATGTGAGAGAATTCTCTAGACTTCTTGATTGATTGATGATGCAAACATGCCCAGAATGGGTTAAATCAATTTTCAATCTTACTCCTTGCGTCGTCCCATCATACCCATCACACCCCATCACACCTATCACACCCTGTCACATCCATCTACGTATCAATTCATTCAAATCTTGGTTTGGCCACTTCTTCGTGCCGCCAAATTCCTCTCCGATCCCACAACTAGGACAACATGATGACTCAAAGCGACAACTTCGCCGGCCTCGTCCAGAAGAACAACTTCGAGGTCCATTCTTCCGTTGTTGATGCTCTTCGTCCGAACACGCACGAACAGCCACTCGACGCCCTCGGGAGGTAGAACCTTCTTGACGTCTAAGTTAAGGGCTACGGTAGGATACCAAAAGGCCGGGAAAGGTTTGTCGCCCTCCGTCTTACGCCACAGACCCTCGATGACGGAGGGAAAGTGGTCGCACACGAGACCCACGCTCTCGTTCGTGAATCGCTCACCCGAGTCGAGGCGCAGCCACTCGTCGACCAAGCCTGGTATAATCTGACCCCCGCGCGGCAGAAACGTGCGGACCCGATGAGAGATCTTGCGAAACTTCGGGAACGGCTTGTCCGTGTGCTCGACCCAGCTGAGGTCCTTACCGCCAGCTAGGAGCACGGCAAAGTCGGCCGGCGACGGAGGCGGAGACGGGTTCAGAGACCACAGGGTCTTTAGGGATAGACCGGCCTCCGTCTCTATGTTGGAGTGCGTGAGGTAGCCAACGACCTCCTCGCGGCCATCCTGCGACAGCACGACATGGATGGTCGACGTCTGCCGGCCGAGCTTGACGTCGCGAACCACCAGGGTCGCCGGGCCTTCCTGAGTCCGCCGCAAGAACTCGAGGTGCAGCGAGACCGTATGAGGCTGGTCCTGCGCCGCGAGCGTCGTGCGGAAGTGGGTCGCGGCAACTCGAAGAAAGACAGAAGTCACCACGCCGCCGTGAGGCACTGAGCATCAGTTAGATCATAGACCGCATTGACGACGCCGAAACCGAGATCATTATACGCACCTGAGCCAACGCACCATTCGGTATTAAAGTTAGCAGCGTAGGTATGCGAATCTACGATTCCGACGGCCGTAGCCTCTGCGAACGTCGGCGCCATCTCAAGCAAGAGGGGATCCTAGATTAGATCACACCGGCAAGACGAGGAGCCAGCTGCTACATGAAGGACGGATAAAAACTATATGTACCTAGGTAGGTAGCTTTACATCACGGTGGTAATTTGTAAGTAAGTACCATCTGAGTTGAACACCATGTTCCGACAACGTAGGTGTATTAAGTCAGTTGTTGTTGAGACGAAGAGGAACCTCACATCGCAGCCATGTTCCATTAACACTTTAGCGGGTCGCAAGATATGAGCCTCGGCAATTGCCCGGGTTCCTAATTACTAAGGTAGGTAGGTAAATATGTAGGTACTAGGTACGTACCTATATGTACCTACCAAGGTAGGTACCTAACATGTTCACTAGCCCTATGTGCAAGCGAACATTAGGGGAATAGAACAAAAAAGGATTTAAATGGCAAAACAAAACGTACCTAGGTAGTATTGGACCAACAAAAATGATATTCGAAGCTACTTGTAGCGATCTTCCACACCCAACGTGGGACTCGAACCCACAACCTTCAGATGGACTTCACAAATAACAGGTGTAAAAGTCCGCTACCTCTCTTTAAACGGACCTTACAAATAAGTAAAGTGTAGAAGTCTGATGCTCTACCATTGAGCCAGCCGGGTCGAGTAGCGGTATATCGAGTACAACTATACCTATCAGTAAGTTACAAAATGCCGTATTGGCTGAAGTTTACCTAGGTAGCTCCAAAGGAGCATTCTGTGGGTACATGTATGCCCTACATAGTGCCAATCGCACCTCGTCTTTATTAAACATGTACAAGTGTAATATTAGGAAGTCTTCATAAATCGCCTACTCAACACGACAACAAATCTCGCGAGAAGACGCACTCAACATTCAAAATCTACCATTACAATCCAATCAATGGTTTCGATAACACGAAAAAGCAGAACTGTGGATATATGTCGATAAGCCATCGATTATTAAGATATGCAAGTATTGAGGTATTAGTCATTTTTCAGTTAGTATGTAAGTACCTATACCTAATATCTAAATGCATAATATGTACCTACCTAGTACTTATCAAAGTAATTCACGCAAAAACATTCCCATTCCTGTATCAGCTCCTAGGTGATAGCCATTCGTACAAGATGCCACTTACCCTAGCTAATGCCGGACGGGAGGACGCCGTCCGGATCGCGGAGATCCACATGGCCGCATTCGGTTCCAACGCCATGCTCTTGGCTCAGTTCCCCACAACCGCCGTCCGCGATGCCCTGAAAAGATGCATCCAATTAAAAGCGCTTGCCGATATCGACGACCCAAATATTACGGTTCTCGTCGTGCGGGATTCTGACTTTGCAGATATAAGCAACACAATCGAGCTAGGTGAGAACGAGCAAGCGAGCAAACACCAAGCGGGCGGAAGGGTGATCGCATTCGCCAAATGGGCACACCCCGTGCCTACCGACGAGGACTATATCGAACCTTCCTGGATTTGGCCAGAGGGCACGAACTTAGACATCATCGAAGACTGGACTAAGAAGACCGAAGAAGCACAAGCTCACGCCGTAGGGGTTGCTCCGTGCTATCGTGAGTAGCGAACAGCCTTCATATTCCCTACGAACGACCTATAAGAGGACTAACTAACATAGCAGATCTTACTTTCATCGGTACCGATCCCGTATATGAGAGACGTGGGGCGGCAACCATGATGACCCAATGGGGTATCGATCAGTCCAAGAAGTATCACGTTCCCGCGTATCTTGAAAGCACCCTCGAGGCAGCCCCATTCTACAGGAAGCTTGGTTTCTCAGAGGTCGAGAAATTCTCGCTGAGCTATAAAGTTGATGGCTCAGGGGTTACCGAAATCTACGAAGAAATTAGTTTCATCTACAAATGAATTATGTTAATTATTCTTACCGGTGGGCAGCCGTTTATCTTATGTTTAGGTTATATGACTTATATGACTGCACGTGTGCCTAGATGATAACTATTCTAATAGTATTACTGCTAACACTAGAGCCCCCTGAGACTCGCGAGGCCGAAGGTCCCCCTACAGCTCCGGCAAGAAGCTTTTAACCGACAAAGCCCCTTTTGGATGAAACCTCTATTGGATTTTTCATGTTGAATTATTTGGTTAAGTTAAACCGAGTTTTAAGGTTAATATTTGTCAATCTGCACTCTCCATCGCTGCTGCTGCGAAATATCGCAGGTCCTTTGCCGAATCTTTGCTGTAGTTACAGCCCATTGCGACTCCCCGTCACGACCCTTGTGCCAGAACCTTTCTTACAAGCAACCGGGGGAGGGGGGAGGCCACAAGTGGGAGTGGGAGCGGTCGAAACTACTTATCCTTTACGAATAAAACGCGCAGGTTCGGGATCGTGCGGGCAACAATGAATACGCATGGCTCTGCTAGGTTATAAATGCATTTTATACAAGATCCTCCGCCGCCCACGCCGACCATAAAACCTCCCCCGCTTCGGCTTTTGCTTCCGGCACTTACGCTCGATGCGGAATGTTATTTCTAAGACACTCTCAGGACGTGGCAGTTCCCGGTCTTTAATATTAAAGGCTGGGCTGGGGAACACTTTGGCGCCACACGCCTCGACGAAGAAAGGGGATGTGTCGCGTCAATGGAGGGGCTTTCGAAAGACAAGAAAACGGACTCCATCAGTCACGCTTTTATCTACCCTTTTTCATGACGGAGGGGCGCGTCAAATGCGCCGTAGAGTCGGCCGGCGGACCTGATTTGTATTGTAAGGGGCAGGGTTTTTCTACGCGTTGGTAGTACGGCGAAACCTGACCTGTTAGTGGACAATGTAAGAAGTAGGTAGGTAGCAAACTCATAACACACAAATGGAGAGAAAACATTTAACAAAAGCAACCAGCCTAGGGTGGACAAGAATTTAACAAACACTTAGCGTACAGTCGTGACTTCAAACTTGGATCGATTGCGTACAAGTAACCAAATATTAAAAGAAAAGTCACTGCAACGCCAGGTATGTACCTACCTACCTATCTACTTACCAAAAGTCTATGCAGATATATATATAAAATCAACCACGAAGAATGGAGGAAAGAAAGAAGCATTATAATACTGAAAGCCGCGTCTTAGTTTCATCCTCATATCGGTCGAAGCCGAAATAAAGATTACTGATCCAGGACACCACGAAAAGGTGCACGGCTATCGTCCTGGTCCGCCGCCGGACTTCCGACGACGGGGCCTCCACCAGGACCGTCAGGTTCCTAGCTTCATAAGCCGGGGGTAGGGTTAGGAGCGCAAAAGAAACATAAACCGGCTTCATACCAAAGCCACCACGTAAGAAGGAAAAGGGAAAAATCAACAAGAAATGACCGGAACGCCTAAACACCACAAAGACAACCTCCTACGCCACGCAGAAAAAGGGCAGACGGGGTACCGCGTAACGCATATGAAATCAAGCACTAGAAAAGAGCTAAATGGAGTCAGTATGGAAAGATGGGATCTGGGTAAGGTTTGCCAAGCGGCGGACCTCTTCGCTGTGTACTGGGTTATAAATCCAAGGAATGGCCGCGCCAGGCGCATTTGGCTCCAGCAAGGAAAGGGAAGGAACGCGCATCTGGTGACGAACGAAAACAGAAGTGAGCGACATGCGGGAATAGAGGGAATGCCGGTTGGGATGGTTTTCATCGTTGTCTTCCATACCGTCGGGAACATCCTCGAGATACAAATCCTCGTCTACAACACTTTGCTGTATTACGAGGGCAAGGGAATGATCGGCGGCGTACGACTGGTCATTCCTCCACTGGCGGACCGGGTCTATGCTCACCGGGTGGGATGGTAGGGGACCGCATCGGACGGTAGGCCACACCACTCGGTGAACACCTCTCGTAGCAGTTACGAGGTCCCATAGCTCGCCTACCCGCAAGCCACGAGGGAATCGGAGTTCTGCGACGGCGCAGGGAAGTTGAGCAGGTAGGTCGGGGTCTTCACGATCATCTCTAGTCACCTCCCAACGCAGGTGAAGGATAGGCGGTTGTGAGACTTGCATCCGTTCCCACTGGGGTCTGCCAGAGATCCACTCGATCCACCGGCCGTCGCGGATGGCAGAGGCAAGTCGCGTCGGAACAACCTCAGAAGGGCCTCCGTGACGGTGCTGCCACGCGCCATGACGGGATCGGAAGAGCATCGAAAATAGGGTAGGTATACGGAAGGCTACAAGATGGTTCTTCACGTAACGACCTGACACCGGGCGGGTGGAACACGAATCAAGAAAGACGCGCTGTCTTAGGACGGGAGTACGCGTGATGGCATCTTGCCAGAAGCGTGACACGCGCTGGCAGCTCGTCAACAAGTCACGATCCGGCACCTGGCGAAGGATCAGATCAAGCAGCTCCGGCGCACCCAAAACATCCTGAGTTGGCGACATGATAATGTGGATTATCACGGGGATTATCGCGGGAACGGGGATGCAATGGCAAATGGTCAAGAAAGGGTAGCGGGTGGTAATGGTCACGAAAGGTTGGTGGATGGCAAAAGTGTGAGAGATGGAAATTGGGAAGAAAGTGTGAAGAGAGTTGGGAAGAAATTGGGAAATGAACGGGAGGAACTTAAGCTTTATATATGTTTGGGTACCGGTGGCGGCGTCGGGGCAACGGTTCATAGTAGACCAGATGATGTTGCAGACTGGGTGATATGGTCTTGTAGGCGACGAGGTCGCCTAGGTGATGGGACGTTGTTGCGTAGGTAAGCAGGCAGGCAGGCAGGCAGGCAGGGAAGGTCTCGTAGGTAATATGGTCACGGAGGCAATGAGGTTACGTAGGATAAGGGGCGTTGCAGCGTAAACAAGATCGTTTGATAGGGTTCTATTCTAATATTTTTCCTTCTTCCTCTCAAATCTAGCTGACGCGAGCCAGATTAATGAACAGGCACCATGAATAGGTACCTTCGACCTCTGCCTTGCCTCTATACAAGCAACAAACCTTCCCTTCTTCCCCTGCCATCTTGCGGGCCCGGTATGCCTATGTCTAGAGGATCTGCCAATCCAAATATCCTCCATTCGAATCAAACATCTACCAGGTCAATTCAAATCACCTTCAATCATCGCGAATTCCACCCTAACCCCTATCTCAAGCATCGTACACTTGTCACTTGCAGTCTATAACGGCAATTTGTTGACATACTCGCACAACAGCTTACGAGAAGAAACGCAAAGTGAAGGCGAACCTGAAACGCGAATTCACACAAGACCGACTAGCGAGTGTTTGTAGTGACACGGGCTGAAGAAAATCAACAAGAAACTGGGGAAAAGCATGATGTCCACGATACCCAGCATAGGACAGCGAAGAAAGCCGCCCAAACCCCCGACAGGATACGAGCCTACGTCGGCGGATGTCGCGGAGGGTGCGGGAGAAAGAGAACGCAGCCGAGACGAGGGCGGGAAGGAATTCGCAAAGCACCTTCACCAGACTAACTCTACAACGCAAGCGGTCAAATTAAGCATACATATATCCCTCCTTCTAAGGGATCGACCTCGGCAGCCGATCGGCGGTTCAGCGGTTCAAGCCCGCAGAGCGAGTGGCTACCACGAAGGGTGGACCCAGCTAGCACATATCATCGGAAGAAGGCGGGGGGAGGTCACAGGTGGAAGCGGTTCAATTGACTTGCCCTTAACGAATAACA